GTAAAAAGCAACAGAGGGTCCTGTGGCACCTTTAAAATTAACAGAAGTATTGGAGCATAAGCTTTCATGGGTGAATGCCCACTTCGTCAGATGCATTACCTTTCACTTATATATTTTGCTAATGGTTAACTGAAGATGAAGCTGTTTTTGAACTGATATTAATTAATAACCTGAAGAAGAGCTCTGTGTAAGCTCGAAAGCTTGTCTCTGTTGTCAACAGAAGTTTGTCGTTGTCTCTCTACTATCCTGAGACCGACACAGCTACAACAACACTGCAAACAACAAGGGAAGATATGAATTTTTGCACGACAACATTATGTATATTTTGAGCTTGGTTTCCTTTCACAGTGGTTCTGAGCATCTGTAGTGGTCTTATTTGCTCATTGGCCATGTCTCTCTATGTAATGAGATGTGTATTTTTAATCTGCAACACCTCTAGCTGCTTGACTTAACTTTCTACAGTTTCTGTTTGCTTATTTCAGTCAATAATTTACTTCTGCCATTTTAATACGTGATTTTCCTACTTGACTTTGAGTATTTGTTTACTTTGAACTGGCTGTAATGCTTGTCCTTATCTCTGGAAATTCTGTTCTTTCATACCTTACTAATTCCTCTCACTGCTCTTTCTTCCTGGACACATGCAGGGAACTTCTAAATATGGATGATCTAGTTTTAGAAAACACTCCCCAAACTTAACCAAGTATTACTACATCCTTGGCACAGTCTTCCTACAAATGAACAAGCTGTTCAGACAAACAGGCACATTTGGGGCTAACAGTAAGTCACACCTAGATTTACTGTTGTATAGAATCTTGTAGCTTAACTTGAATTCTAAAAGGTCACCACTTTATACTATGCCACAATGAGATACACAGAATCTTGTAGGAGCTAGGGGTTACTTGAAAGTTGAGTTATGCAAAGTCTTAAACTTTTAGTAACATATCAGAAGGCTGATTCTCCTTCAGTAAACCCCCCATTAATTAGTATTGTTTAGCCAAAATAATTCAAGGCCAAGGAGTAAGAGCACTGCATATGGTCAACTAGATTCTGGACATTATTACTGCAAGTGAAACAGCAAGAAATCAGAGGAGCAAACGTAAAATACAATTTAGTGCATAAAAACACTGATATGATATCAATCAGATATCATTTACTGGAATTGTCACACTGTGCATTCAATTAAAAAGTCAGTTGTGACTAGTAGTAATTTGGCTTAATAATTTGAAGTTAACAGACTTAAAAGTTAAAAGTTTGTGTTGAACTAACTAAAAAGAACTTAAATGGTAAAAAAAAATCTTAAAATGAATCAAATTTGTTAACCAGTGTCATCTTTATAGTTATTATATGAAATTTAATGAATGTCAGTTACTTTGCAATAAGAACAACAGAGGGTGTAGTGTCAGGTTTCATCACCAGTGACTGTGTTCAGAAGTTGTCTAAGTTTCTCATTTGGAGATTAGATGTGGAAGCTATGTATTTTAATACAGGTAAGTATACTACTTAAAATGAGTGTGAAGATGCAAATATTTAGTCTGTCTTAAGATTCAGCATTTGATGGATGTTGGTTGTCAGGATTCAATGGTGAAAGATGTAGATGATTTGTGTATATACAGAGAGCTGTCAACTTGTTTTCTCCTTTGAACCTCAGTTTGGTTCTCTGCCAGGGTCTGGTTCCTGCTGCCATTTGGTCCAATGGTACCAACAGAAATAAATGAACTTCCAAAACTGTTTGTATAATCTTCTCTACATTCAGATATGGCTTTCTCTAACACTGTAGTAGGGTGTCCAGACAGACACTGGACTGCTGAACTAGCAATTCCCAGCCTTATGTGAGTTGCTCTTATGAAAGAACTTCTCAGTTTCCCATCTTGGCATCCCTCATGTTACTTTCTCTCTAGATGTTGCTCCTTTTGTATCTGAACACAGAATGTCTAAAGACAGAACACTTCTTTGATAGTATAGTGGTCATCTTTCAGGTTACAAGAACGAAAAGTACTTGTGGCACCTTAGAGACTAACAAATTTATTTGGGCATAAGCTTTCGTAGGCTAAAACCCACCTCATCAGATACATGCAGTGGAAATACAGTAGGAAGATGTATATATACAGAGAAAAAATGGGGGTTGCCATACCAACTCTAACGAGACTAATAAATTAAGGTGGGATATTATCAGCAGGAGAAAAAAAACTTTTGTAGTGATAATCAGGATGGCCCATTTCAAACAGTTGACAAGAAGGTGCGAGTAACAGTAGGGGGAAAATTAGCATGCGGAAATAGTTTTTAATTTGTGTAATGACCCATCCACTCCCAGTCTTTATCCTAATTTAATGGTGTCCAGTTTGTAAATTAATTCCAGTTCTGCAGTTTCTTGTTGGAGTCTGTTTTTGAAGTTTTTTGTTGAAGAATTGTGATGTTTAGGTCTGGAATTGCATGTCCAGGGAGGTTGAAGTGTTCTCTGACCCCCATTTTTTCATGTTCTCTGTATATCTGATATATATCTTCCTACTG